AGTGTTTTCAGGGTAGGGAAACTGAACCTGTGGGTTGGAGTGGGAGAGACCTGGAAAAGACTCTCTGGGTTTCCTATAGGCTAGGTACCCATAGCTAAACCCAGGCTCCAGGGAGAGTCTGTAGGATCAGCTCACCAGGTTATTTCCAAGTCGCTCCTGCCTTCCCTGTCCCCTCAAGGCTATGGTGGGTGGACTTCTGAGAGCCGTTCATCTCACACACCAAGGCAGGAGGAAGGAGTGAGGGAAGGGCCAGGTGCAAGGTTATCTTCAAGCAGTGCTGGACTTGAACCTGGCATCAGTGAGGCCTGTGTCTTCCTAGATAACACCCCCACACCCTGCACTCCCAAGTCCCCATTGCCCTCAGTGGCGATGGATCCTAAGCAGCTCCCCCATTGCTCTTTGGCCTGAGCTGATGGCAGCTAGATGAACAAGGGCTGGGACCACGCAGCAACTTTGAGAGGGGGTTTCTCACTCAGACACCAGGACAGGCACCATAAGGCAGCTGGAGATGAGAAACCCCAGCTGTTCACCCAGACTGTCACGTGCACACACACACACGTACAACCAGACCTCTGTTAGGATTCAACACGCTCCTGGATGCTGAACACAGACCTCGGCACATATGTGATGGTAAATAAATTAATGTGTTTGCTAGTTCTCTTTGCTTTTCCTATTTGTTTAAAGCTCTGGTGTTGAAACCAAAGAGTCCGTGAAAAGGATGGAATGACCTAGAATATTAGGGGTGGATAACCCTCACAAGTCGCCTAATTTAGTCTCCCTTCCATATTACAAGTGAGGAAACTGAGGCCCAGAAATGAGATGAACTTGTATTAGTCCAGTGTAATTAGTCAAGGGTTGTCTCTCTACATATACTGGTTGTCAGAAAAGTCGTGATATGTTTTTGTATGTTTTTCTATGCAAAGATGTTTCATGACATTTCTGACAACCAAATACGTATCTATCTATCTATCTATCTATCTATCTATCTATCTATCTATCTATATATCTATATATAGTATATAGAGAGATGATGTATAATATATACACATACACACACACACACACACACACATATATGTAGAGAGAGAGGTTGATTTAAGAAATCTCACATGATTATGGAGACTGGTAAGCCCAAATCATCTGCAGGGTGGCCTGGCAGGTTGGAGATGCAGAAAGAGCTGATACTGTGGTTCACATCTGAAGGCTATCTGCTGCGGCATTCACTCTTGCTGGGAGGAGGCCAGTCTTTTAGTTCTATTCAGTCTTGAACTGACGAAACAAGGCCCATCCACATTTTGAAGGTTAATTTGCTTTATTGAACATCCACCACCTTAAATCTCATTTTAGAATACATAGAAACATCAGAATGTTTTTTTTTTTTTTTTGAGAGGTTTTCGCTATAGGGCGCGTGCGCTCGCCAGACAGACAGAGACATAGAGACAGAAAGCGAGAAATCACCCCCCAGGGGGGATGGTCACGCCGCAATCCCTTCTCCTCCATTCTCCTCTCAGGATCTTGGGCACGCACGCACACGCGCCCGGCGTGAGATTTAAGCCACCGGGTCCGAGACGCAAACCGCGGTCGACTACGTGGGAGTCCAGCGACATAGCCATTACGCTAACTGCTGGTTCCCACATCAGAATGTTTAACCACATATCTGAACTTCATGGCTCAGCCAAGATGACAAAATTAAACCATAATATCAGGGTCACATAGCAAAGGCATATTGCAGGGTGTAGATAGGAGCAGAGCTGGGATCACCAGCAGGTTCAGAGGGAGCAAGCTGCCAGGAGCCAAGATATTGTTGATTCGAGCTGGCCTGGAAATGAGACAAGAGTTGACATTTGGGACCATGGACCAGGACTCAATGGGGGGATGAGGTCTGGCCTACGTATATATACCCTGAAGTAAATCAGGTACCCAGCCACCATGGCACATGGTGCTAAGACACTGTGCTCAGCAGGCTGGGTACCTGGGGACCACATGCAAGGCCTGAGTCCAATTCCTGACCCAACCTAAAGGCCAGGTGAGGTGGTATGCACTTGTAATTGCCGTGACTTAGGGAGGCTGAGGCAGGAGGATCACAATCTGGCAAGACTCTGTCTTAAGGGGGAAAAAAGGTCTGGCGAGGTGGTGCAGTCTGTAGCATACGGATTGCAGAGCTGGAAGTGTTCGAATCTCCTGCCTTGCTGATATTAAATATGCTGGGTGTGCACTGGTGCCCAGACATCCTGATGAGTTGGAGGGATAAGGGAAGGGATTCGTGGCAAAACCAGACCCTGCTAAGGGCACCTCAATGTGTGTGTGCACTTGCTTTCTGTTATGGACAAAGTAAAATAAACTTGGGCTGGTTCTACAGAGCAAGATTAAGTGCAATGCATGGAAAGCTGAATCCCACATGGCTGACCTTGGTTTGGGTCCTGGCCCTGGCAGCTTGAGGAACATGCCAGAAGTGTGTTCCCAGGATTCTGATAGGGTGGAGAAATGGAGAAAAAGGATGTCAATGTGACCATGCCTCAATGGGGATGCTCTCTCTCTCTCTCTCTCTCTCACATGCTCACTGGCAATTAAACATTTTTTAATAAATAAATAAGATGAACTTGAAAAATGTTTAATGACAGTGTCAGGTATTGTGATATGTTTTACTTGGATTAACTCAATGAAACCTCTACTAACTCTTTGAAGTACATACAGGTATCATCCCCACTGTTCAGAAAGGAAACCTCAAGCCTAGATAAGTTAAATGAAAAGCACTAGGGGTCAATAGCTAGGAAACCATGTAGAACTGGTTCGACACTCAGGAGCACTTAACCACAGGTGGTTCCACCACTGACCACCCTGTAATCTCGCTGCAGGCCCTGAAATAGACAGTCTGACAGAAGCTGATATGCATGACTCAAAACAGTAAGACTCACCTACAGCCCAAAACAATGAGAGGGGAATGATGTAAAGGATGTGAGTCTGCTCCTATGGTGGTCTATGGAATAGCAGCTAAGAATAAAGGATGCTTTCAAGATTGGGACCAGCAGTTGGCATAATGGCTACATCGCTGGACTCTCATGTAGTCGACCATGGTTCAAGTCCCAGACCTGGTGGCTTAAAACCACATTGTGTACGTGTGCATGCATGCCCAAGATCCCAAGAGGAGAATGAAGGAGAAGGAATTGCAGTGTGGCCATCCTCCCGGAGGGTGATTTCTCACTTTCTGTCTCTGTCTTTCTGGTGAGTGCCCGCGCCCTATAGCAAAAACCTCTCCAAAAAAAAAAAAAATAAGAATAAAGGATGCTTTGAAAACTAATGAGGTGAGAAAATGCTTACAATACAGTAAACAGAAAAAATAGAATATGTAACTGTCACTATAGTTTGATATTATCCCTTGATTAAAAACAAACAACTAAAAGGAGTGGGAGGAAACCTTGCAGATTCTTTTTTTTTTTTTTTTTTGAGAGATTTTCACTATAGGGCGCGTGCGCTCGCCAGACAAACAGAGACATAGAGACAGAAAGCGAAAAATCACCCCCCAGGGGGGATGGTCACGCCGCAATCCCTTCTCCTCTCGGGATCTTGGGCACGCATGCACACGTGCCCGGTGTGAGTTTTAAGCCACCGGGTCCGGGACACGAACCGCGGTTGACTACGTGGGAGTCCAGCGACATAGCCATTACGCTAACTGCTGGTTCCCATCATTGCAGATTCTTGAAGACAGATAAGTGCTAGTATCTGTGAGTCTCCAAATTCATAAACACAGCTACCACTGTAGTGTAAGACTTACATATAGTTGGAGTTGGCAGTTGGCATGGTGGTTAAGGGAGCTGGACTCCCACATAACTGACCATGGTTCAAGTCTTAGACCTGGTGGCTTGCTTTCTCTCTTTCTCTCTCACTTTGTCCTTTGGTCAAATTAAATAAATAAATAAATAAATAAAGTAATTCTTTAAAAAAAAAAAAAAGACTTACATATGGTGAAGCCGCAGGTGACATAGTGTTTAAGGTGCCAGACTCCCATATGGTCGACGGTTTGAGTTCCAGACCTGGCAACTTGAAACTCACACTGGATGCAGGTGCATGTGTGCCTAAAATCCTGAGAAGAGAATGGAGGAGAAGGGATTGCTGTGTGGGCATCCACCTGGGGGAGTGATTTCTCACTTTCTGTTTCTCTGTCTCTCTGGTGAGCACATGCACTCTATAACAAAAATCTCTTAAAAAAAAAAAGAAACAAACAAACAAACAAACAAAACTTCCAGTTGGCTGAATATATCCTATAAATCTACATCTGGGTGTACTAGTGGTCTGTTGATGAATAACAAAATTACTCGAAAACTTATGGCTTAACCAATGAATATGTATTGTTCCACAGTTTGTGTGGTCAGGAATTTGGGCATGATTTAGCTAGGTGCCTCTGGCTCAGGTCCTCAAGCCGGGTGGCAATCCCATGTTGGCTGGGGCTCTGGTCATCCCAAGGCTCGAAGAATGGACAGCCTGCTTCCAAGCTAACTTAGGCCTCAGAAGATCTTATGGGGCCAGGTCACATTTTAAAAATCCATTCATTTGTTGGTGGAAACTTGGGTTGTTTCCATTTCTTGGCTATTGTGAATAATGCTGTGATGAATATGGGAAT